TCTCGTGTTCGTTGCGATGTGGAGGGTGCGGTGAGGTTCGATACATAGTTGTATCGCATGCAGCGGTCAGCTTCCTTCATCAGGAACGATGAAAGTTTTAGTAGATCGGCGTTCGGGCCCGGCTGTGACTCGGCGAAGTTGCACCAACTCGATACAAGGTAGCTCGGCATCTTGTCCAAGACTTCCCGGGTCAGCAGTGGGTTAAGTAGGTACTCTGGCTGCACGTTCCTCAGGACGGCCACGACGTTCTGTAGCTTCACCGCAAACATGTTAAGATCGTTCGCGGTAGGTCCAATCTTCGGCAGCTTCCGTAGATCGGCGAAAGCCATGTCCACTAGTCTTTCTGGCCTTCCGTAGCATTGCTCCAGTGTTCGCATGATCTCGTCGGGGTGCGTCGCGGTGCTCAACAATGATGCGACGTTTTCCCGAGCTTCTCCACGTAGGCAGTTTCTTAGTCTTGCCATATTCTCTGTAGGTGTGAATTCGTACAGCCGCGTTGTTTCTCGCATCGCAGTCGCGAACTGTAGCCATTCCAGCGGTGAACCAGAGAATATCGGTAGATCCGATGCTTGACGCGGCGGCGGTCGTGACTTCACGAGGGTTTCGAGGACAGAGGCGAGTTGATCGATGCCTCTGCCTCGCGATGACGACCGTCTTCGTTCTTCCCTATCTGGGCGTCGCGTGTCGCGTTCAGGTGGCGGTTCAGCCACGGCGGTCCTTGAGAGCTCCCCCCGTTGTTGGTCGACGTTCGCGTCGTCGAGCCACTCGAACACTCGATCTTGCAATTTATTTGCCGGTTCTTCAGCTTCGGGTTCGCTCTCTGCTCCGTCTAGCGTTTCTAACTCGATATTGAGCGTCTTTTTTATGAGGTCCGCTTCAATTTCGAGTTCTCGGCGTCTTATGGCAGCCAGTCGTTCTTCTGCTTCGATGCGTAGCTTCCGGCGTGCCGCGTTGCTCGCTGCCGAGCGGGTCGAACGCGCGACGTGCACTCTCCTCGCCGGTTGCACCGATGACGTCATCGCAGATGTCGTTATTCCAGTAGTCGCCGCTGTGTCCATTGGGTGTGCTGCGCGTTCGTCCGCTCCGCTCGGCGGCTGCGTAGTCACTGCCAAGGCGACGCGTGCTCCGGCAACGTCTGCCCCAGCGCGGTTCGCGTTAGGCGCTAGTTGCGAGACTTGCGGTGCGGTGCGTAGGCTCTCCCCGGCGTTACCCGTCTCGAGGCGTCCTCGTACGGTCGGTGTACTTGAGGGCGATCTCGGCGGCTGGTCGAAGACACGACGTTGGTTTTCTTCGTCTTGGCTTCTTGTAAGCACCATCTTGAATTGCTGTTGCTGGATCTCGAAGGTTCTATACGTGTTTAGATCCGACTTCTCGAAGGACCAAAACTATTGAGGGTGGTGATCCGGCTCTATGGACCAAACTGTAGACGATGTTGTATAACCGTGGATGATGGTGAAAACAAAGACGAATTTCTTCTATAGACGTTTTATTGTATTTTCTTCTTACTGGCTACTTATTACTGCTTGACTATACTGCTTGACTGACTTGACTTGACTACGAATATTTACAAATTTGGCCCTACCCTTATTCTAAACTTAACATCTAACTTAGCTACTAGTGACGCGCGGCGGCCGACCAATCACAGCGCGTTTTACACCCGCGCGCCGGGTGGGGGAATCGCCCCCACCGTGCGGACGGCGCCTACGCAGCCAATGGGCTCCCTGATAATTCAGCTAATGTAGGCGCTGTGATTGGTCGTTCGATCTGTACATTTTTCGGCACGTGGCTGTCGTGCCGCGGAATTAACAGTTTTTTTTTCAAGTTAATCGATATAACCTTGCACGGGCGACACATTTTCCGAATGATTAAGAATATTATCTTCTTTTTATATAAAATTAATGTCAAAATATCAGAGAAAAATATTTTTTTCAAAAAACCCTGTTTTAAAACTTAAAGTACTGTGTAAATAATAACAAAATATTAAACTTTTGTTCTTTAAGAGTTACTACACTAACGCTACCATTTTAGATTCGTCTTTTACTTGCTATATGTTTCTCATATTTGTAAGATTTTTGATATTTATGTATGATCCAATCCAAAGTCAGAAATTCTGTTTTCAATGATCTAAAAATTAAAATGATTAAGTAAAATTTTTACAAAATACATAAAAATATAAACACAATTTTCTCTAAAGCATTGTATATATTAATAGAGATGAAGGTGGAATATAGCACCGGCTGCTAAGAACTGAAGTATGCAAAATCATAGACAAAATTTGCCTATTCAAGCAAGTGCTTAGTAAGGCCAAAGTAAGGCATTACCTAAAGTTACAGGTTTGGTAAAATTTGCGCTTCTTTTAATTCAAAGTGATTTCTAGTTAAACTTGTTTTGTATCCATCTATCTTCTTTTTGAATATGAACAAATTCTATGACACTTTCTTGTTGATATTACTTTAGGTTTGTCCAAGTTCACCCGTAGACCTAGGTTATTCAGCACCTGTTGTAGATCATATAACGTTTCAACCATGACAACCATGTCGTTGGCAAATCGCAAGTGTGAGCCATTTATATAATACCACACATGTTCCAGTCCAGAGTTCTTCCTTCAAAAATAATGACATTATTATATTTGTCTACATCTCCAGTGGAGGCAACGAAGTTCTGTCGCTGATGATCTAAATAGGTATTTGTGTTTCCACATTCACCTATAGACCTCCTTACGCTGAACGATGAAATCCACTGAGTTTATTTTACGGAATAAATTCCATTGTGCCAAAACATTCACCAGCCCCGGAAGATTTTTTTTGAGAATTCCTATTTACAGGCTATATTTAAAGAGCTTCGTATGATTCGGTGATTACTACCGGTATTGATTCTTCTGATCATTGAAACATCTTTATATATGTGCTTCCTGTCGGTTATAATGAAGTACCTCTTTTATCTAATAATTTATAGTTTTGCTATCGGGACTTCGCCATGTCCACTTTCATTGAGGCTGTTTCTTGAAGAGTTAATATATCAAGTAGTCTCTTTATCTCGAGAAAATTAGTTAGCTTCACACACCCATAGGACCTACTACTGATTTTTTGCAACTCTGTACTCACACTTTTGCCTTGAAATTCCCCATCACAGCGTTGTTTGAGCCTTTGAAGTATAAGGCTCTAGAGATGTCTTCTAATGTAGCCACCATTTCATCATCTAAGTGTGCCGAGGTTGGTGCGTAAACCTGCACAACCTTGAGATTAAACCTCTCGATTAGCTTAATTATGAGGTACGCAACCCTATGCCACCCTGGGATTGCTGGTCACCCTATCGAAAGTAAAAGAGATGTCCTGATTACAGGGGTATGGTTTTCTCTCCCTCTCTTCCTCACGTAGCACAAGGATGTCCCAATTTATCATTCTAAGTTCTTCTAGTTGCGTCAGATGATCGTTGAGCTGTATTGGGCGTCCTTTGTACGTCACTAGGGTCAGTTGGTGACCTGGTTAGCACCTTCCATCTTACTATGGAGGAGCTACGGAGGTATAGGAGGTTTTTACCTATAATCGCAACGATGGGCCCAGGAAGCGGTCTGCACAGATGACGCTGTGGCCCATCAGATTCTGCTAATGTCAGCGTAATCTTGGAAAATCAAGTCAATCGATGAAACAGTTCATGTTAAAGATCATAAAATAATATTTGTCACCATTGATTTGTGAAGAAGACATTACACTAATAATATTCGATTTCAGGTAGGCAGTATAATGGTAAAATGCGAGCAGTTGAGACTCCATTGAAATTTTCAGAACAGTCTAGTACATTGGTTGGCAACAGGGGAAATGTGAAACATTGAATATAGTTGAATTTAGGCTGGTTATACCTACAGAGAATTCATATTTAATTTTACAGAAGCACCTAAATGTGCAGGCGGAGTAGATGCAATCGTTCATAACTGCAGCGTTTTGCATAACAGTCATCATAATAAAGGTTTCGCTGATTCTGTAAAGAAGACAATTTTTTGTTCTATGGTCAATAGGCCCACTACAAATATAAATGATAAGATTCCTTTATGATAACATTGCTAAGAGTAAAACGACAGGCGTTTTGAAAGTTTATCATACATTTTTTATGTAATTTTGAGTTTCCTGTTAGAACAAAGTGTAGTTTTTTTACTAGTATTCTACACTAAGTTTATGTTTTTTTTTGTACAATTACGATCAGTAAACACTCCAGGAAAAAAGTGGGCTTAAAAAAATTGTCTCCTTTATCTGCAATTTAGAAATGAAATTTGAGTTCAATTGAGTTTTTCTTAAATGTTTTCAAAGAATTTAAACATTAGATACTACAATTTGATAATAAAATTGAGAAGAGATTTTAAAGTAACCAATATGTATGTATCATTGGTATCTTTCTGCAGATCATATACAAAAATGCAGCAGTTCATAACAACAACACATAGATCTCTGGATAGCAAGTGACATCATCGGCATCTTCTTTTTAAACTCCATAGCCATACTGGGAAAACGGTAACCCTATTACTAAGAAGTCACTGTTTGTCTGTCACTAGGCTGTATCATGAACCATGAAGGTTGCACAGTTAAAATTTTCACAGATGATGTATTTCTGTTGCCATTTTAACAACAAATACTAAGATCGAGAATAAAATAAATATGGGGGGCTCCCATATAATAAACATGATTTTTATTGCTTGTTTTTGCTTGATATTGATAAGGACAACAGGTTAACAATAACTTGAAACGTTTACAGAATAACAGAGTAACTTTAATACAAACATGAATTTTTAATTTCATATATAAAATAAATATATACTGGAATATATAAGTCACAAGGCCTCAATCTTTACAGAGTAATTTCCTATATCTACTCAGCAAAAAGTTTTATTCTATAGATCTCCGAATACATGATAGTTCATGAGATTCAGATTGTTTTATAATTGTTAATTTATAGGTATTTGACTAGATCAAATAGGTGATCTTGAATTTAGATGTGCAAAATCTTACCCAAGTGTAGGAAATCCAGATAAGTGTCTCATTGTTCAGTCTGGGTCCAACGAGGGGGTTCATTTGTGCCATATACGCACACAGCCAGCTGGAATTATAACAATAACTCAATCAGATTATATATAAAATTATTGCATTGTTGACTGACCGACAGACAATGTACAGCCAAAACTATTGAGCATAGAATGTTGAAATTTGGAATGAAGATTCCTTAGGGAGTGTAGAGAAGCAATGGGAGACGATTTTATAAAATTCCACTCCGAAGGGGCTTAATTAGGGTGGAAATTTTGTATGAAACTTCATTATTACAAATGCTAGGAGTTTCAAATTTTGCAAGCGGGTTCTTTTTTGGACATAGGTGCTCACTAAGACAGGATTTTATGAAATTCGACTCCTAAAGGGATAAATTAGGGGATGAAAGTTTTTTGGAATTCTCTAATTTAAAAAATATTTTTGGACGATTAAAAGTGCTTGTAACAAGCTTACTTGAATAAAAACATATTCAATTCGAACAATTTCATTTCTCATTACTGGACTTAAAACTACACCATGCCCACAAAGTCGCAGGCAAAAGCTAGTTAGATTATAAGATTAGGAGTGAAGTTTAATAATGAAACATCTATAGCACCTGTTAATTTTATGCATGACTTTCTATGAAGTTTTAGGAAAGTATATGTTCAAAATAGATCAGTGGTATAGTGGCACTCAGTCGTTGTTGTTAAGTTACTTTCACTAGGGTCTTTCATGGATAAGCCAATGGTCCTGGCTGCATTTGCGGCCATTTAATACCCCCCTTATCCGCACTGGGCCAGGGTGTACGGTCATGGCCCATCCTCCTTAACCATCCATAAGCAAAGCCTGAACCCCTGCAGTGGGGACGTAAAAAGGCTGATGATGATGTTCACAATAGGCAAACATGTTCAGAATAGTAATAGCTTACCATACTATCATAATATAATACTAGAACATTTTTAAATAGACATTGAATAAGTGAAAAATTGATTTTTCTAGTCTAAAGATTTTAGTATCTTTCATTTATATAGCAGTTCCATATGTTCATAATTTGTGCACTGACATTCATAATTTGTGCACAATATACTGAGTGGATTTTCCAGATAATTTTATTATGAAACAAAATAAGTTTTCTTAAACAGTCTTGCATAGCATTAGAATGTTACAAAAATAGAAATAACTTAGCCTAAATGAGTGTCTAATAATTTCAAAATAATTTATTATAGTGTAAAAAAAAACATTGATATACTTACAATAACCAGCATGTAGCAGCCGTAAGCATTAACACCACTTGAATAATTCTGAAAATTCATAATTGGCTAATTAGAAATAAGGATAATCATAAGCAAAAAGAATGTGTAAAAGATCGTCGAAACTCACCCTCTGTTCGGACCTTTGGGAGCAAAGAAAGGGCACACAATGCCGACCACACCCCAAAGGACAGTAAATACAATTATAGGGACAATAGATGCACCCATTTTGAGATTTAATTTACAAAATTTGCAAATTTTACTGTATCTCACGAAAACATCAGCTGCCCCAAAATGGTGGATTACTTTGTAATGTTGGCATTACTGTTTATCAACAGTCATATGACAAATTACGTTTCGTTACCTATTTTATAATTATTTGTTTATTAAATTTCTTTTATTATATAATTAATTTTAAACATCAATTAAAAAATGTTATATCTAATTATATATAAGATACGAGCAATATAATTTTTGGCCGTGGGCCTAGCTAGATTTAATACTCAAACTCAAAGTTGTAATGTTGATCGAAGATCTCAAACCCCAACCTATTATTATTCCTCTATGATCTCAAACTATATATAAATATGCTCTCTCAAACAAACATTGAAAGGAGAGTAAATAATTAATCAAGGTGATCTAAATTATTTGACACTTTTATTATACACAGTTATTTTTATTTGCGAAAACAAAAATATGCGCTCTGCACGGCATATTACGACTAAAAAGAATGTGTACAAACGTAAAATAAACAAGAGACGATATAAATCAAAAAGTGCTTGGAGATGGACCCAAAATCTATTAAATAACGATCTTGAAAATATTAATGAAATCCTCCGTGTTCATGTTAGTATATATATATATATATATATATATATATATATATATACGTGATGAGCATTAATTTGGGTTTTAATTTAAGGAAAGCCACAGCAATGATTTATTGACTTCATTAGAATGACTGTAATTTGGCTGTTATAGTGTATGATTGTTTATTCTCTATTCTAGAAGACCCAGCGTGCCGAAGGAAAGGGTGCTTGGAAAGTAGTGCCAAAAGACTCCTGTGAAGTATATAAAAGCAGACGAAAGCGTCAAACAAAGTCGAGTCACTATGAAGAAGAGAATGATGAGAGAAGTATAAGGACGACTGACAGTAAGGAAAGTCGAAAAGGTGAGAAGAAAATAAAAGGAGATGGAATAAGAATGAAAAAGGAACAGCTAAAGAAATCTAGGAGACGGCGGCGGCAGTCATATAAACATAGGTTAATATAAAATCAGATCCATTGATTCCATTTTAATGTGCTGAAACGGACTTATAATAATGACAAGCGAGTTCTTTGGTTTGTCTTCTTAATTCATAATCTAATCCTCTTAGATTAAGAATACTTATTTATGTATCCATTGCGGTGTAAGTTTTCTGAAGAGAATAATTATTACTATTCAAATTTAATATATTACTATTATTATTAAATGAAATACTGTGCAACTGAGTCGGTATGCAGTTATAGAGATAAATGAGAGCTTTTTTGATAATTCTAAAACATCTTATTTTCTTCATTTCAGACATTCGCAGCAACCACCCGATTCAACATCTAATAGTACAAGTTCTACATATTCGTCCTGTTTTAGTTCTTCTGAAATGGATTATGAATAAAAATTAACTGAATTTTAGTTACATTAAAAACATTGTTGCTTTTATTTTATGTAGTATTCTCTTACTTTTTTTTATGAACTCCTTTTAAATCTGCAGCTTTCTGTGTATACTTTAGTCGGTAATGTCACTCAGAGGAGGAATTGTTCATAAACTCGTATTTATAAGATCTCGAAACGAGTCATGTGATTTCAATTACATGAATCTTACCAGTATGATAGGAAAAGAAAACGGAAGATGAATAAATCATATCGTGGCTATGAAATCGATATTCCTCATTATGTTTTAATAAGTGACTATTATTAAAGGAAGAATGGTTGTTTAGATATTAGTAATGTGCCTATATTCTTCGATCAATAACTATATTACATGGATTTTGAAAATTCATTTACCATACATTTTTATGTAGCAAATCTATGCTTACAACACCTATGAAGACTGGCACTGGCACAACCATATATCAAGAAAATATTTGAAGCCACAGACGAATAAAAGAGCATTGATATTACTCTTGATTGTCAACAACAATTGTCAAAGTCATCCGTTATGTGGTGATAATATAATATTATGTTTCAAAATTATTGGTGAATTTTTATACAAAATTAATTAGAAATGTAGAACTCTTCAATGTAATGTCTGGATTGGCGAGTGTAGAAGACTATGCTGTTGTTCTTCTTTGGCTGGGAATATTTTCTTTCTATACAACATTGCTTACTGTTACCGCACTTGGCGTCATTTTTATACTGTTAGTAATTCAATAAAAATATTTTTATAAAGCTTTTGCTTATAAAACTATAGGTTTGTGTCTGCAGCACTGCGTGTGTAGCCGATGTTGGCTAAAATAATAGTTGGATTTATTAATCATAGACTTCTTCCGTTCATAAGAGATATATTAATATAATAATAAATAAATAATAAATAAATATTGGACGAGCTGTTCCTACTTGAATAGTCACACTGCAACAGGAATAGCAAAGATAGTTCATTAATTCATTAACTACACCATTAATCAGAATGCTTATGTCTAAGCATAACAATGTATGGGGAAATATTCGCAGACTTTTATTATTAGATAGAAATGCAGAATATGTTTTATTTGCAATTTGATTTGATCACCACACGTTTCCAAAGCTATAACTAGAAAAAAATAAAAAACAGTCATGGCAACAAAAAGATAATAACTGTCAATGTTACGTCAATTTCAAATTATACTTTTGCCGTTTCGTTTTTATGTTTTGTTTGTTTGTTTCAATTGGTTTAAATCGAATTTATAATTGGTTTTAACTTCTCTAATATAAATTAAACCACCGGATAGTTAATTATGACTTGTGTTACATTGACGTGTCTTTGATTTTCTTTGAATATGGACGATACACATCAAAGCCGACCATCCGACGCAGCATCTGCTGCTACGTAAGTTAATTTTATATAATTCTTTTAGTACACTTTTTTTATTGAATTGATAGAAGTATTGGACAGTTAAAACATGTTACCCGTGACCCATATGATATAAACTATGGGAGAGAAAGTTTAAAGTATTTTATCATTAACAAAATGTGACATTCTATAGAAAAGTTAGTCTATCAACTACTTTTTACTTTTTTCAGAAATGCATACAGAGACGCAGATGATAGTTAATCTTTATTTTATATAATATTTAAGTTTCCGTTTAACTTAATTATTATACAAAATATAAATAAGTAAAACAAAAGTATGATCTTGTCTAATAATAGGATCTACATAAATTGTAACAGTGAATATGTTAAATCATCAGGACGTATATAAGCTGACGTTGTGTTGTATTTGGTCATAGACTTCATGTGCCGAACTAGTTTAAAAAATAACAGAAGTTAAATTAATCTAAAGATAAATGCCTAGAATAAAATATGCATCCGAGAGTAATTTATTATTTCAAAAACAAAGAAAATGTTAGCAATAAATGACTTTTAACCATAAAAAAACACCAATCTTGTTATTAATGGTGTTTCAAAAACTATTATTATGAAAACTTCTCTAATAATACAGTCAAAATAAAAAGAAATTGCAAAATACTTTGATTGAAGTGCAGATATCTAATATCTGCACTATTGCTCACATTAGTCTATGCAAGAAGGAGTGACAGAGACATAAAATCGACGATGATGTGTATTCAGAAATTCGGGTTTCTGATGTGTCGGTAAGGTTCTGTAGATTAATTGCTTTGAAGTTTTGTTATTTATTTCATAAAGCAGTGTTATTTTCAGGAAACAATATAATACGGACTTATAAAATGATATTAATAATGTAAATATCTCGCTTATTCTTAGTTTAAATGATAATTAATTAAAGGTTAGTTGTAATGGAAATGTCTAATAATAAATAATATTTCTTTTCTTTTCTAATTTAATCAATAATTTTTTTATGCCTTATAATTTTGTTAATGACTTTTACTTATAAAACTCAGCTTCTATAGGTTTGTGTCTGCAGCACTGCGTGTGTAGCCGATGTTGGCTAAAATAATAGTTGGAATTTTTAATCTCGCTTATTCTTAGTTTAAATGATAATTAATTAAAGGTTAGTTGTAATGGAAATGTCTAATAATAAATAATATTTCTTTTCTTTTCTAATTTAATCAATAATTTTTTTATGCCTTATAATTTTGTTAACGACTTGGTCTTAAATTAGGTAACCACTTTTAATATTATGGCCTTTTTTTCTTTTGTAACCGTGAAAAGCGTAAATAAAATTGTAATGATAAGTAAACAGCCTAATTATCAATTTCATCAGTAAAAAAATTGTATAATAAGTAATTTGAAATTTCATTGTTTAATTAAATTAAAAAATAATGATTTTTTGTTAGGTAGGTTACCTAACACAGAATTTGATGACGCGGAACCCTAAATCAGTGCACTTTTGATTTAGGTACGTTGGTGTTCGAGTTGCAATAATTACCTATATAGTTCTGGTCATCGCTTCAGTCGCGTCTGAAAGTTTCATCGGTGTACTTGTGAGTTTTCAGAATTTAGAAGGTTAACTTACGTTTTCGTTCTTTCGGGACTTTTGGTTTGTTTTTCATACTCGTTCTGTTTACCTGTGTGTTGTGTTTGTGTGTGGTCAGTGCAATGAGTTCGTACTCAAATGCCGACTATTACGAGATGATGGCTGATGGATGGATGATGAACACGCAATGTGTTGGTGCTTGTGACGGTAATCTTGCTGCGGCTCGGCGGCTTTATGACGATAGCTACGTCGCAGGAAGATCTGAAAACTCTCGACGTCTTCCTTCTTACCATTGCTTCGCGGTACTTGTGAATCGGTTACATACAACTGGTTCATTCCATAGTGTGCTACAGGAAGGCAGGCCGAACACCTATTCCACCGAGACAGAGGATATGATTTTACGTCGAGAGTAACACGGTCTGTGTCGAGTCGAATGTGATGTTTGTGCTTAGCCGGCATATCGAGACCCTGGACTGATAAAGTGGAGGTGAAGTGTAGGTAATGTTGACAAGTGCGAGCTGAAAGAGTGATTAGAACGCTGCCTCTAGGTATGTACTTGTTTAATCTTAAATTGTTTTAATTAAGTACAAGTTAACTCATACGCAGTCGAGTGCGCGCGTCGGCGACATCAAAGTGTATTCTAGGAAACGAGAGAGAGTGAGAGGTAATAAGAGAAAGAGCGAGTACGCCGGGACGGCACGTGTAAGCTTTCAGGGTTGTAGCATATTAATGGAAAACAAATTGTTCAAATATTTGTATGAAAATCTCAATTAAAGTGAAATTGTTTTTTGACATATTAATTGTGTTCTATGTGCTTGGTTGTATGGCCATGTTTCGGGATTATACATGTATTTCCAAACATCCTGTATAGCTAGTTTTATTATGTGTATTTTTAACAATACATTTATGATACAAAAATTTTAATATAGTTAATTTGTCCATTAAGTATTGTTTGAAGGTATGTTTATGATTATTACAATAAGACCAAAATCTTACTCTAGTATATATCTATCTTAATAGTAAAGGATAATAAAATGCGTCTAATAATTAAAGAAGTATTTAAAATAGGTGCAATAAAACTGTTTAAAAGTAGTTACATCTCCATTGTCTATGAGCTCATGTAATAGGCTCTCTTCTAGTAACTTCAAATTGGTTGAAACAGTTCTCTCCATTTGAATCTGTCATGTTGCTAAGTATTTGTATGTTTACAATCCATTGTCACTATATTATTTTTTTGGGTCCTATGTCTTAAAACCGATAAAACAGAATTTATACTACCTTTTTGTAAATCAAGGACTAACTTTGGTATGAGGCTTAAACCATTATCCAACAAAAATAAGTCAACATTTCGCAAGTTGAGATTTTCTCTTTTGTTATGGTCGATTTGCTTGAGGCAATCTTTGGCTTAAACCATTTACTAATTTTAGTCCTTGTTTTATATTAACTGCTGAAGGACAATAGGATTATTTCTACAATTATTTTTAGATTTTAGCATAACAGGTTAAGGCTCAAAATTAATTGAAGAAGTTTGGTCTCTTGTAGTTTATGAGTGTTATTGCCAATTTATACTAGAGTGGGTACCACAGGGATATTTGACATGATTTGCGTCGTATCCATGTCCATGTTAAGACCCACTCTTTGGAACCTACCTTTGACCATGATGTTAGAAATGTTCGTGGCGTATATTTTGCTGTCCAAAAACTCGAAAATGTCCAACACAGTGAAGATGAACTTTAGTGATATATTTTCTTCTTGGCTTATGTCTTGCTACAATTGGATGGGAATTGAGTTCTGATTCTGTAATTGCATATGCATACATAATACACTCTTCTCGGGTTTTTAGTGAGATGTCTTGTGGGCGCGCTCAATAAAAGTGACATTTGATGTAGGCAGACAAAACGTTCTCGAGTTCATTACGTTACGCATGCCGTAGTACACTTGGCACCTTTAGAGAGACTCAACCAAATTGAAGGCATTTTCGTAGTCTACGAGCTCTTAACAAAACAGGCTGAACAGAAATACCAGAAGCTGTCACATATATTTGTTTGTATACACAAATATATGTGATAACTTCTGGTATTTCTAACATTTATTCCTTAAATAGTCCAAAAGTCTTGTTTTTAGTTTTCTGGCAGTTTTTTGCGGACTGTATTTCTTTTTTAAATTTGTGAATGCAGTTCAGGATATCTTAAAAAGTTTTGGATTTCTAGGAGCTTTTGTATGTTACTATAATTGTCAGGAGTTGGTGCATATTTGACGAAATCGAGTCTTGTACGTAGATCGCGGAATGTCAGAACTGACAAAATATATGATGTCCATCGCTTATCAACGAGTGCTTCTGTAAGTCGCTTGACGGATCTTGTCTGATATGCACCGACCTTTAAAATAACTACCCTTACTGTCCCCGTCTCAATCCGTCCTTTAACTCTAGCGTTGTTTTATTTGTTTCAGACGTAAGCGTAGGTCTTCGATATTGAAAAGCCAGCGACCTCCGCGCACTCCATTTTCAGAGCTGGAATTTCACGTTGCTACACCCACGGACACGGCTAAAAGTCGTCGTGTCAGCTTCTCCAGGCGAACCGGGGTTGCGTGAGTATTTGTCGACTATTCGTAAAAAGTATGGCGCGTCTATAAAAGTACCTCCTCTGTTTTTTATATACGGTTGAAGGTAGTTTAATATAGGTACCACATATAATATGTAGATTAAACTTCCTCTATTTTTTAACTACATTCATTTCCTATTGAATAAAAAGTTAACATTAGTATTGAATGAATTTGTTCCGATCAACTATATTGCAATTTAGTACAGTGAACTAACAAGTAAGGTAACATCGTTTGCCATTCGCATTTCGAATTGGTTAATAATCTCTAAAACTACGTAAGAGTATTGGTCAAAATAATGACATGAATAGACAACCTGACCCACATTTGCGCTGTTCTTGAGTTGTATAGTATAGGAAATGTTTTACTCCTATGTTTACGATTAATATCTATTTTCAGAGAATTCGTTACCAACGAAGCAACAACAACATGGAAGAATTTTTACGAAGAGCACAACAAGTCTCTCGAGTTATCCGGAAACGATTCTGTAGCGAATCCGCCGAAGCAGACTATTGGTCATCTCGGGAAACGGATATTTGACCAACAGTTTCAAGAGGTCGAAGCCGTGGACTTCACCTCGCTCGATAACCCCAGTAGAACTATTAATACCTCATTGAATAAAGTTAATTTCACCGAACAGTTGGCCTCTCTTGAATGCACTAGTGGTGACAAAACTTTATTAGCTCCACAGCAGAATTTCGAAATGAGCTCTTTTACCGATCAACAAACTAATATCTTTGGTGAGAATTTTGTCGTTTCTACAATGGGTGAAGAGTCTGGTGGTATCAACATTAACTTCTCTGCCATACAGACAATAGGTTCTAGTGAAGTCGTAGATGACCTAGATCAAATGCAAGCAGATTTGTTGCGGGTTAAAAGCAATATATTCTGTCCTGGTCCCTTTACTGGTAGGGCAGACTTATCAGAATATATTGAGGTCGATCTAAATACTACTCATGTAACAATGAAAAATGATGTATCTGATATGTCCATAACTGATACTATTCATAGTCCAAAAGTGCAGGAAGTGTCTAAAAATAATTCAATTAAAATCAATAGAAGTCATTACAAAGATTTAGTGGCAGATAAAGAAAATATTGTTATATTTGATATGGGCAGCTCCCCAGTAAACACCACTGAAAAAAGGAAAACCATTGTTTATGAAAATGAAAATGTTTCTATTACTCAAGGTTTACCTATGAATATAATTTTACCTAAAGATAATAAATCTGAGAAAAGAAGGACAATAGTGTATGAAAGCGACGCCGCAGACATATCTGTAACACAAGCTGTGCCTGATAATATTATGTTAGATGATACAAACAAACGGAAGACGATACTTTCTCATAATGAAACTGGAAACATTTCTATTACTCAAGCTCTACCTATGAATATTATTTTACCTAAAGAGAATAAATCTGAGAAAAGAAGAACAATAGTGTATGAAAACGACGCTGCCGACATATCTGTAACACAGGCTGTGCCTGATAATATTATGTTAGATGATACAAACAAACGGAAGACGATACTTTCTCATAATGAAACTGGAAACATTTCTATTACTCAAGCTCTACCTATGAATATTATTTTACCTAAAGATCATAAATCTGAGAAAAGAAGAACAATAGTGTATGAAAGCGACGCCGCAGACATATCTGTAACACAGGCTGTGCCTGATAATATTATGTTAGATGATACAAACAAACGCAAGACGATACTTTCTAATAATGAAACTGGAAAAAATTCTATTACTCAAGCTCTACCTATGAATATTATTTTACCTAAAGAGAATAAATCTGAGAAAAGAAGAACAATAGTCTATGAAAGCGACACCGCAGACATATCTGTAACACAAGCTTTGCCTGATAATATTATGTTAGATGATACAAACAAACGCAAGACGATACTTTCTAATAATGAAACTGGAAAAATTTCTATTACTCAAGCTTTACCTATGAATGTAATCTTACCTAAAGAGAATAAATCTGAGAAAAGAAGAACAATACTGTATGAAAACGACGCTGCAGACATATCTGTAACACAAGCTGTGCCCCTTAATATTATGTTAGATGATGAGGACAAACAAAAGACAATAATTACTGATTATGAGACAGGAAACATTTCTATTACTCAAGGTGTACCTATAAATATAATTTTACCTAAAGAAAATAAACCAGAGAATAGAAAGACAATAGTGTATGAGAGCGATGCAGCAGATATATCTGTAGCGCAGGTTGAGCCGGTTAATATCATGATAGATAATAAAGACAAACGCAAGACCATAATTACTGACAATGAAACTTCTAACATTTCTATTACTCAAGCTCTACCTGTGAATATAATTTTACCTAAAGAAAACAAAAACGAGAAAAGGAAAGCAATAGTGTGTGAAAGTGATGCAGCAGACATATCGTTTACGCAAGCTGTCCCTGCTAATATTATGTTTAATGATGAGAGCAAACACAAACGCAATACAATAATATGTGATAATGAAATAGGCGACATTTCAATTACACAGGCAATACCTACGAACATAATTTTGCCCAAGCAAAATATGTCAGAGAAAAGGAGGACAATAGTGTATGAAAGTGATTCAGCGGACATATCTGTAACGCAAGCTGTGCCGGTTAATATTGTGTTAGTAAATGAAAATAAAGAGAAACGAAAAACAATAATTTATGAAAAAGAAACAGGCAATATATCAGTTACACAAGCAATTCCATCAAATATTATTTTGCCTGATAAAAGTAAAACAATTATATCTGAAGATGACTTTGGTAATATATCTATAACGCAAGCAATTCCAATTGCAAAAATTATATCGAATAATATTTATGAAGCTCCGGCAAAATCTAATATCCAGGAACAGCAGAAATCAAGTATGAAATATAAAGATAAAACAATTATTTTGGGTAATGACTCTGTAGACATTTCTCATTGTAACAATATATCTACTACAAAACCTACAACTACTGGATTTCAGTCTACAAATATGTCTTTACCCAAACTTATAGATAATCAAAATCCTATACTACTTGAAACGACTTTGATTAGTAGTGAAGGTGAAAAAAAGGTTTGTCATGACGATAAGTTTGCAGGTCAACTGGGGGCTAAGTTTGATAGTAAATCGTCTCCCAAAAAAGATGGATTACATGAAATCTCGCATGCGAACGAAAGCAAAACTAATAAAAGTATAAAATATATACCTGAACAGAGCAAGTCTTCAGAGAACAGGAAGACGATAGAGCTTGAAACTAATGCAGCAGACGTTTCTGTAACACGGGATTTACCTGCTAATATTGTGTTAGACGATGAAGATAAAAATAAACGCAAGACAATCCTTTTTGATAATGAAACAAGTGACATACCAAACACACAAGCACAGCCTTCTAGCGTAATTTTACATGATAAAAGTAAATCACTTATAATAACTGAGGATAATCTTGAAAACGTATCCTTTAGGGAAAGTATTCCAGTCATAAAGAATATGTCTACTAATTTACCTGATAAAACTTTCGTCATAGCCGAAGATGATCTTAACAATGTATGTATAAAAACTAGTCCAACCCTCAAAGTCAAATCGACCACTTCACCTGATAGTAGTGTATCAATCATAGGAGAGGATATCCTTGAAAACGTATCTCTTACGCAAGATATTCCAATCGCGAAAATAATATCTACCAATATTTCCGAAGTTACTCATAAACCTATTATCACGAAAGAACGAGATACTAATGCTCTTTATGAAGATTATAAGAAACAAAAACCATTAGAAACTAATGAATCATTAATAGTTAGTGAGTTTTATAATATGTCTACAACTAAAAAAATTGATATTACAAGAGAACATCTTTCGCTTAAACGAGCTCTGATAAATAATGAGGACATAGAAAAAATTGACCTTAAAAACGAATCTGCAAATGAATCAAGCTTAAAATCTAAAGTAAAGCCGTCACCCTTGAAGATAAATACAATTAACGAGGTCTCTAACAAAGACAAATGTAAACTAATATCATCTTGTTTAAAAAACGTGTCTGAGGGAACAAAATCGTTAATGAATGATTTTATCACCAATACTTTCCGTGACGAAATAAATAAGAACGAAGAAAATAAATTGTCTGGTAAAACAGATATAGAACATAGAATACATACCGTGCCTGTTAATATAGTGTTAGTAAATGACGACAAAGATAATCGAAAGTCAGTTTCCAAATTTGTAACAAGCGATATGTCGGTTACACAATCTTCAAATATACATTTGACTGAAAAAAGCAAAACTGAGAACAATCTTGAAAATTTATCGCCTATGCAAGTTATTCCAATTGCAAAGACTGTGTCTAATAATATTTCCAAAGTTCTTAATAAATCTGTTGCTATTGAACAAAGTAACTTAAACGTGCCGGATAAAGAGTATGATAAACGTAGATCTATTATTTATGCCAATAAGTCTTTAAATAATGCTGATTGTAATTTATCTCTATCTTTAGATAACCAATCTGAAGATATTACAACAGAGGTACAATCACCCCCTAAACCGGCTAGATTAAGTGGCGAAGTTGTGAAAAAACTAGAATTTGAAGACGATTCCGTGAGTGAAATAAGTACAAAATCTGATATTCAATTGACTCCCAATAATAATAATAATAGTTCAGAAAATTCATCTGATAAAATAAAGTCACTTATGCAAGATTTAGTTACACCTAACACAGATATAATACCGTTTCTGGCTCTCGATAAGGATAAGAGTATTTCTAAAGAAACTTCCACCTGCAGCACGGCAATTCAAGCTAGTTTAGTAACATCAAGTCAAATAGATGTAAATATAATAGAATCAAATTCTAGTTCATTTCCTTTAAGCAAGGTTACTTTTGAAAATATGACTGAGGACGATGATAGCGTTAAATCAGACATTAAACCCTCGCCCCTCAAGAAGACCACTTTTGGCGAGATCTCTTATGTAAATGAAAATAAAGCTAAAGTGATTCCGAGCTATTTAAAAGATGTCTCTGATGGAATCAAGTCACTGATGACAGATTTAGTTAAACCTAATGCAGATATTGTGCCTTTTTCGACTATCAGCAAGGGTAAAGATATACTCAAAAAACCTTCTACATGCAGCACGCAAGTTCAAGCTAATTTAATAGCATCTAGTCAAATTGACGTTAGTATCGAAGAATCTAATTCCACCTCAGTTTGCTCGTCTAAGCTTGGGAACTTGTCTACACCCTCTTTTCTTACCGACCCGAAATCTTTAAAAAGTTCCTTGAAAATTTCGAAATTGGAAAAGACTATTCATTTACCAGAAGCAACAATATGTCCGAAAATGGCCTCAACGACTCTTTCTATGTCTGAGAAAGTCATAATTTTCGATCAAAATAATCCACTGAATAATGTCCTTCTTGTGTCACCAGAATTTTGTAACGTACATCGATATGAACCGAGGACAAATGACACTTGTGCCGAGAGAAGCGAACCCGTTGATTCGGAGAAGTCTCAAAACAGAGAACTTTCGGAGGGGAAAAAAGTTGCTCAATTTAACGTAGAAAGAGTGCTGTTCTCCAGATCTATAGCTCAGGCTGGTGACACAGAAATTATGGCGACAACTGAGAGTTTTATTTCTAATGTGAGCAAATCAACATGCGCTCCAGAATATGAGCGAGGTCACGAGTTAAAGGATACTAAAATTAATACGGTTATAGCGATGAAACCAAACAAAGAGTTATTAGAAACGAGTTCCTCGCTGACTTTAGTTGACGACACAATCACAGCTAACAATTTCGACGTTGATCTTGGATCCGTATCGGGGAAAATTCGTTCTCCAGTCAAACTGATTTACGAAACTGAAGAACACTTATCTAAAGATAAATACTCAGACCTTACATCAAACGATGACATCGAAGAGTCTAAAATTAACAGTAAAGGTAAAAAACGTAATTACAGTCCGACAAAGAGAAATAAACACGATAAGAGCGGTATGTCAAGTGTAGATAATACTCCGAAACAGGTCTCAAAAATACAAAAACTCTCCATTAGTCCGTACAAGCCAGAACCAAAACCACAAAAATTGAAAGCTGAAAAAGATGATCCTGGTAATAGTATAGATATGGAAGTTGACACTTCTTTAAGAATCGTGCCAGCTTCACAAAAGAAAGAAAAGAAAAAGTCTCCTGAAAAAGTAAAGATTAGTCCAAATATAACTGTTCAGCAGCTCATAACAGAATACGATTTACAAGGAATCAATGGAGAAACATTGAATAAAGTTGTGCTTGAGGCTTTAAGTACATCTGGGAGCTCGTCTTGGCCGAAAACTGAATCGGTAACAGATGACGGTGTAAAGAGTCCAGAAGTAGCTAGCTCATTTACCAGTAGTAAGAATCAGAATGAGATGCGAGATACTGGTAGTGATACCACTGTCGATACTAAGGCCAGTGCCAAGAGCGACCGGACGGATTGGCAGCCCGATACTAGGGCTGTGGACCCTGAATGCGACTCGTCCGTCAACGTAGTCGCTAAAATTGACATGCTGCCCTTTATGGGGTAAGTTGGTGCATATTTTATATTAATTATAACACTATTTTTCTAAATAAGACCCAAGTACTTAACTAGTTCCGCTGCAAAGAGTGAAACGCTAGAAATCTACACGAACTAACGAACTAACTCAGCGAACTAGGACGTTTAGGAACCGCGAACTAACTCATTCGATCTCATCGAACTAATACGCCTACGACTAAGCCCTAGCGGCATATTCGGATGTCTAAAAAGTTCTGAAATAGTTACCTGTCCCTTTCTTCTCAGTGGCCCTCGGTCAGAGGAAACTCCTTAGTGCTTATTTATTATTACGCAATTAGTAAAAAAAATTGAATTGCCGATAAATTTTCCACGGCTCTCAATCGGTATAGTTACGCCACTGGACGCCCATAAAAAAAAATAACAAAATAAAAGACTAATAAAGGTACACCGATTAAAGAGCCAATTACAAAAGAAACTGCTTAAATACTGATGGTCTGAATATTATGTACCTTTAAATGACACTATTTTTATTTATTTTATTCAGGGATTTTAAACCTTCTTCATCCTATCGTAGCCTATAATGTGCATTACGCGATTTCTAAAGCTCATTCATTTTTAATTCCAAATAGGTCTTCTATAATGATGATTTTGACGTCCCCTAACAGTTGTAACATGCCCCCCCTCCCCTAGATCCAGGCCTGTTAACACTTGATAATACGGGTGTAGACTAAAACGAATAGATACATTTTTTTTCTGGTAGTGTTTAATACAATATTACCGATAATCACACTTTTATGCTTATTATATTTAAAATATTAATTATAATATGAAAATGTTATAACTAAAAAAGCAAATATTTTGTACTCGTTGTCACGTGACCGCAATCAGCGCGTGACGTCACGCCCCTATTACTCATATCGGAACTTAAATAATTCAACCTTATGCGTAAATAGAACGATATTAGTTGGCCGGGGCGTCATAGCGCCGCCATAACAGAAGTGGCGTTTTCGCGGGAGATTTTGAAAACGAAATCAATTTTTGAATGATACTTTTTAAATATTTTTTTTAAATATATATATCGACGCTGGAAAGCAAACACGTAGTAACCTGCAAAACCAAAATGGCTATTTAGAGTGGAAAATCTTTAAATTTTTCCAAAACAAAAATATCTCATTTCTGTATAAATTGACTAAGGAACAACTTATTTGTAACGATGGACGTTTATAGGAATTATTTATATATAAAAAAAAAAGTTTTTCTGCTCTGAAGAACAATTTTGGTTTTGCTGGTTACTAAGCTTTGCAGCGTCGATTCCCAGCGTCGAATTATATTTAAAAAAAAGGCGTCTACAACCCTTATTGTATAATGCAGCAGCTACGAATGCGAGTGGGAGACGTCCGGCGGGGACACGTGGGCGTTTCGCTTGTTGCACGCGCGTTTACGGTTGACTGTGCGTTTGGCTCATCGGCACGACAACGCAACGCGGACGCGCGTGCGAGCGGACACGCCCGTGCTCGCCGTCAACTTGAAGACTGTGCGCAGCGGTATGATTGCGTTGATTCATCTTATTACAGTAGAACCTCGATAACTCAAACCTCGGTAACTTAAAAACCTCTATAACTTCGAAAAATAATATCGCACACCTAAATCTAATTTGAGACAACTCAAAAATTTGAGCGAGTTTTGACTTAGTACAATATTCAAATACTCGGTGATCATACGCATCTATCCAACAGATTCAATAAAGGTTCCGGGATGAGCCGCTAGATAACTTTAGCTTTTTTTTTTGTTGAATCAACAGTGGTCGCGCTCCTGCCACGTAAACAAATGTATTGTCAGACCTCCAAATTAGTTTTTTGTTAACTAGCCTATTCATCTCTTAAAATAACAATAACGCTTTAAACTGTAAATGTGCTATAATATCATGAAATTGCTCTGCCACATAACACTTGTCCTGCGACATAGCGAGTGAAAACACTAATTTTAGCTCATCCCATTGTTATCTAAACGTGCTGATAGCTACGTAACGTGCCTGCCACCACGTCCTAATTGAACCTTGTATTTTTTTTTGGTGATTGATTATTGTTCGTTAATTCATAAAGATTTCGATACTTTTTTTATGACGTTTAGCGCTGTAGGTAAACTGTATTACCTAAAGAAATTTCAGTCCAACTATTAAGTTGAGCTGCATTTTCTTTTGTATATTGCAAACAGTGTTCATTAATCTATTTTAAGCCAATTTAAACATTACCTGATTTATTTTTTTTGTTTTTATTTGGCACTAAAATTAGCCCTAAATTTTATTGAGCCCCAAAAAAAGCCCAATTAGTTTATTTCCGCCCTAAATTTGGGGCTAAAAGCCCTAAGTTGGTAAGCCTGCCGTGAGATTCCTCGTTTCCGGTATGAACCCTTCGTGCGCAAGTCCGACTCGCACTTGGCTGGATTTTTTTAAATGTTAACATCATACAAAATTAAACGATCATTCTTGCGTCAGATAAATCCAATGCGCATATGTCCGTCCTTAACATAACTTTTATAATGTTTGACATACAGTTTGACATACAGCTGTTGGGCTGTGGAATAAGATGCTATCTTCTATTCGACATATTTAATATGCCATATTCAAATTTAAATTGCATAAGCATTTTTCGATTTATATATACTTTTGTTTTTCATTATTATACTACTTTATTTATGCACTATTATAGAATTATTTTTTGCTGTTTTTTTTCTTTATTATTGACACACTACCTCCTGTCTTTCTCTCTAAATGTTCAAGGAATCAAAAGGTTTTTTAGAGATAAGACCATCTCTTCCTTAATTATTAACTTAATATTGATAATTACGTGTGAGAAATTAAGAAATTAAGTGTATGTCTATCTAAACAGATAAGGGGAACTCTGTGGCGAGTCTGTGCGTGGGTTTCGCAATGGACGCGATGCGTCACTACATAGGGCTGGGGGTTAACCGCGCGGGGGGCGTGGTCGCGTTGCTGCGGCGGTGCGCGGCCGTGGCGCGCGTGGCGCTCCGCTGGGGCCGCGCCATGCACGAGGCGAGGTTGCATCTCGCCTGTACGCTGCAACAGGACAGGCTCGCGCTCAAGGTGAACAAAAAAGAGGAAAAATATCAACGCTGGAAAGCAAAACCAAAATGGATATTTAAAGTGTTATTTATATATTTTCTAAATAAAAATATCTTATTTCCGTATAAATTGACTAAGGAACACCTTATTTGTTACCGTGGACGTTTATAGGAATTATTTATTGAAAAAATTAAAGGTTTACTGCCCTGAAGAACAATTTTTGTTTTGCGTGTTTTCTTTCCAGCGTTGGTATATATTTCTTGATGAAAGAAAGCTTAAAAAAATCCACTTTGTCTCTTCCTCTGCTCTAAACACTTGACGAATTTTTCTAGCACTTGTTACTATTTCGCTTCTACATAACGTATTTTCATCAATGTTCAGGCAATCCAACCGAACAGACGTTATTTGTTTTTTAAATCTTTCGATGAAGATGAAAATTCGTTCTAATTTATTGTATTTTGTAAATTTTGCATTCACAGTGCTGTACTGAAAAAGCGTGATTATTAATTTTTTTAACATTTTTCAATAAGAATGTATAATTGATCAATTATCATAAAAATATTTATTCATATTCAGATGAGTTTAGGTGTTATGATGTCCACTGCTGAGCATAAGCCTCCCCTGGATACCTTTATTACTATATTTTTTTTATAAAAACAGTAAGAAAGGGTACTTAACCTAAATTAAAATTCCATAGTCATCAACCTAGACGTTTTATTTATACTTAGGTATTTTTCTGACTCTCTTATTTCACTTATTTTTTCGGCAGCAATAGTAATATATAAATGTTATATCAGGTGGCAAATATCCCGCTGCGTTCCGTCTGGGAAGTGACGATGCGCCTCCAATTAGTGACGGACGAGGATGTGCCGTACCCGTGCGCGTGCGACGTTAAAGTAACACGTGTTGTGTCGGACGTTCAGATAACTGAAGATGAAATCAAAAAACTGCTAGCGAACTTGCCCAGGGACTGGGGCCACGTGCCCAGAGCTATATGGTGAGAGATGCAGTACCTTACCTACTTCAAGATGAATAATGGGCATCGGAATCTAACGACATTACAAAGAAAACTACCGACGCGCGCTACCGTTTTTTGAGAACTGTACTGAGCTGATATAACCGCGCATCGTGTTTTGTTTTGATGTAGTATTTTCTTTTGTATAGGTACGTAATATGTGTAAGAGCAGCTCATTATACTGTCGATAAGTGTCGGTCATCTTCAGAGACACGAAGTTAGCAGATGCTCATTATTTGTCTCGCAGTACTTTACACAGTTTTATTTTACTTAAGTAATATTTTTGAAAAGTGCTAAAAATTTTTTTACCCTATACGTCCTCGTTTTTTATTGGACGATGCGTTGTCCGCCAATTTAGCAGCGCCATTCTCTTTCGATTTGTAATTACTTCTCGATTTGTTAAGTCCCCAATTTATCAGTATGTTACGAAATAGCGACAAATAGAAAAGTCACATGATTTGGGTAGTTTTGGTGGGTCAAGAATTCATTTTTAAATCCAAGAGAGTGACGCTGCTTGACTGTTGGACATGCGTGTACGCCATGTTCGATACGCGAGGCATTGTATATAAAGCTGGGCACCGTTAATTGAATAATTAACTTCGCTAATCCGTTACTAAAAAACGTTAACTTCGTTATACGTTAAAGCGTTACATTTCGAAAGTTTTAACGCAAGTTAACGTTAATTGTTAATCCGTTAACACATGATTAAAAATGCATTTTTTATCATGTCGCCATGATAATAATATACTCATAAGAACTAAAGGTGTATAATTCAAGTGTGTAATTGAGACATGTGTCATCATGTGAATATTGCCCTTCATAAACATTAATTTGTTGAAGTTCTCGTCTGAAAGCGAGGTTCGTTTCGGCGTTAAAAAGACGTTCAACTGCAGCGCTTGAGGGAATAACACAATTATATTTAACAAACAGATGTATAAAAATCTGTTCTCCAAGGAATGCTGCATCGTTGAAAGCGTCGTTTGATTTCATGTTAAGCCATATTTAAACGAGATTTTGAGCTTTACTCTTTAAAGATCTGTGACTCTTAGGTTTCTCTTTAGACTGAGTGACAGGATTGAAAAAGTCTTCTTCCACATCATCGTCGTTGTGGCAAGGTACTTGGTAAATAGTAGATACTGGATTAACGATTAACGGACTTAACGTAAGTTAACGGAAGTTAATGAGTCCGTTAACATTTTTTAAAGTTAACTTAAAAGTTAATCCTTTAGTCGAAATGTTAACTTCGTTAATTAACGATTACCGGATTAACGAGTTAATGCCCAGCTGTGTATATAACACATCTCACACATTATTGTACTATGATACTAATAGCTAGTTGCGCAAACGTCCATTAAAATTGTCATTATTTTAAAGCGACATTACCCATACAAATTTAACATTCATTAAAACTTAAAAGCGTCATTAAACCTTATGTACGTTTGTGTAACTGAGTTTATCAACAATTTAAAGGAATATCGGTCTTAGACATATACCGGATGTAATTATCTCATTTAAATTTACACTTTTATTCTTTGTAATTCCGTTTTTGCATCTTCTTAAAATACAATCAATGTTTCGGTTAATAACTAAACTACATATCATATTTTATAATTACAGGAAAATATTCAGGTACCTCAAGAGAAGAACCAGGGATGACGTAATGTTAGGTTTGTCGTAAGTCGAATTGTTATATTATTAATATCAAATAGTTTTCGAAATATCTATGCATATCATTGAATGTTTTCTACATTTAAAAATTGTTTGTGTGTGTGTTTTTTTGTATTAAATATAATGCAGAACAAATATATTGAAGCAGTGCAGATTATAACATACGAATAGATATTTTTACTATAAAATTTATACATTGTTGTTATTTTAATAATATCAGATAATAAGTTTTACATTTAGTGCACGTTGAGGCGAGCGCGGAAACTCGATACTTTATTGTGGAGTACTACTTTTGTGTATTCATAGCAAATCTGATCTCTATTGACTATGCCATAACATTCATATTACCATATTTCTTTGCAACTACTTAATTGCGCGGGTTACACGACATCTCGAGGTGAAAAGTTTCTTGTAGTCAACCGCTAAGAGCATAAGTGCGCGTTTATAAGAGGCGAGAGCTTTTTAGTTGTGTTCTTGTTGCTGGCGGGTTGTTTTCTGCATTGATATCAAATTTGAACTCTATTGAGTGTGTCAGAACATTCAATTCTTTTCGAATACCGGAGGTTATCCGGCATTTCGTAGGTATGAATAGAGTTCCAAAAATTACGTTCCGACGAAAGTGAAATAATAGATAGAATAAATAAAACTATTCCTAGGCATTAGTGGAGCAGTCTACGAAAAAATGCCGGGAACCCTTTTTTTCTCACCGCAGGAAGATCGCATCGTTTCTGTCTCGAATAAATCCGAGTTTTTGGAATTTTCCCTATTTTAATGTACACACGGCTGCAAGTTAGCACAATATGTCAAATTATGCAATGGATTT